AAGCAAAACTGCAGTGTTAAACTTACACCATAGAGCTCGTGTTTCATGTAAACTAGGCATATGAAATAGTTTAAAAGCCTTATCAAAATTCTTTGTTACTGGAAACAAATTACATAGTGGATTTACATACTCTATATGCCCGAATATCGATTCATATGGATATTTATTTAGATGATATTATTTAGTCTCGTTTTGGATATTCATTTAGATGAAATTATCTTTGTATGGAAATTTAATATTAAAATTGGTATATACTATTCAAAATTTTCAGTACACAACAGATTGCGTAATAACCTTATATCATTACTAAAAAAATTTATACGTCGTGTAAAATATGACCAATTATGATGGATCCTATCCGTTGTAAATGACACATCGCTGGCGTATTCTGAAGACTTAAGCAAGCTTGGTGTGCTTCTTATGGTTACATGTACCCCCAATATATAAGTTTATGTTACAACAGGAAACAAATCATCTTTATATTTCTCTAAATTAGTATCTAATTAATGTTGAGTTAGACGTTTCATCTTTGTCACATCTTCTCTTGAATCATTAAAATATAACAGTTGGGTTGACAATGTAGAAATGCTGTACCAATTAATGTCACAATTGAGAAAATTATTGCACACAAATTAATGCTGACTTATATATGCAAATAGTCAATTAATCGTGAATATGCCAACTAAGAGAACATTACATGCATTAAATAAATAAAGATTTTTTAACTCCCAAATCAAGTGATCAAGAACGCAAAATGTAAAAAAAAAAAAACTACCAAATAAAATGATACTAGCCAAAGTTGAAGTCCCTATAAATCATACGAGTTTCATCCCAAAGTTTCTCATCACAAAATCTTGAAAGCAAATCAAGCATTTCCCAATCCCTTTGTATAATCAAATAAAATTTTGTCCATGGCCAAGAAACCTAGCATGGGTCGTCAAAAAATCAAAATCGCTAAAATAGAGATAAAAAATCACCTACAAGTTACGTTCTCCAAACGACGATCAGGGCTCTTCAAGAAGGCTAGTGAACTTTGTACGCTTTGCGGGGTTGAGATTGCCATTGTAGTCTTCTCTCCGGCTGGAAAAGTGTTCTCTTTTGGTCACCCTAATGTCGAGCCCATAATTGAAAGATTTATTGCCAGAAATCCTTCTCCAAATCCTAATTCATTCCACATTCTTGAGGCTCATAGGAATGCCAGTGTTTGTGAACTCAATTTGCAACTGGGACAAATTCTTAATGAGTTAGAAATTACAAAAAAAAGAGGTGAGACATTGGATCATATGAGAAAAAATAGCCACAACCATTATGGGTGGGAAGGCTCTTTCAATAAACTAGGGCTACACGAACTTAAACAGTTAAGGGATGCCATGGAGGAGTTGAAGAAAACTGTGACTACTCAGGCTACTAAGTTCATGTCAGTAGTGACTAATCCGTCTTCATATTTTGTGTCGACTGGCACCGGAATTTTCGATCAATACGAGAGTAAACCAACTAATCCCGTGTTTGTGGGTCCTGTTAACAATAATTTTGGATATTGTCATGGATTCTTCTGATGCTTATTTTCTCTATTTTGATGCCAGATTTAGGCTTGTAATTCACTAGCTTTTACTTGGGATCAATTTGCTATTAATAAATCATTCTTGTTAATTATTGATGTGTGTACAGTCTGTACCTCTACACCATTTCCTGTGAACTTTTTTTCCTCCGGGTTAATAAATTCAATTTAACAAAAAAAAATTAATAATAATAATTAGAATTGATTTAAATATATCTATGACGTATTGAAGTTTGGAAAATAGAATTTGAATTGATTGATGGAATGTTTTTTCGCAGCCATAGCACAAGGATGAAATATATATTAAAGCCGAAGTGGTATCATTAAACATATCAAGACTACCTTTTCTGCTTAAGATTTTAGGACTAGAAGAAAGCCTTCCTTAGTTGTCCCATCGACAACAAAGCTCGTCAAGAAGAGGTACTTGATTTGATACCAGTGTTACAAGCACTTCAGCTAGAATTTACTTTTAAAACGGACTTGTAAAATTCAGGAGCAATTTGCACTAATACGTTGAATGGAAAAGGCACGTTTAAATTTCTTCATTAGGAGCTACAATTACAGTTGTAGTTTCGGAATTCAAAACCTCCTGAAGCTAAAACTTTGTATCTTAAAATACCATTTTGATTCATCAAACTCCACATCACATTAACCAACTGGCAATTGGCTACAGTATAGCAAATATACCCTTTCTTTGTTGAAGAATACCCAAAGAACATACACCTTACCTCTCGAGTATTAAACTTTTCATGGTGTACAACTTGTTGATGGACATGGCACACAGGGAATGATATACATTTATTTGAACCTAAAAATAAAAACATTTAATAGTTATTTTGATTATTATAGTTTAATTTATTTTATATTTTGTTTGTTAGGTGTGTTGATTTTTTAATTTTTGCCAGTTTTCATTACGTATTCTATTGTTAGATTTTATATATTGGTTAATCCTATATGTTTCTCAACCTCTTTTAGTGGTATTAGAGCTTGGATTTCTAAATGGTGATACCGAATTTTTGAGAAACTATGAATCTGAAACCTATCTCAAAACCATGGGAATTTTATTGAACGAATCTGAGTTTATTAAACTCAATTACTGATCTTTTCTAAATTTCTATGACCGGCAATTCTAAATTTTAGAATTTCCTGATTTTTCCCTCGATTTACCTTATACCAATATCCTACTGAGAATTGCCTTTGTCCAAAGGCTCTTGAAAGGCCTTGAGAATCTGAGATAAACTCGATACAGATGTGTGACCGGAGAATCTTGCAGGCGAAATTTATGAAACATAGGAATTGTGATCTTTGACTATGATTCATTCTTATATTTTGTGTTATATGTTCACCGATTGAATATATATTTTTGTATGCGCTATTGTTGGCTTAACTATTTTTCTGTTAAGTGCATTGTGAGTCTCTCATTGCATTTTAATTCAAATGTGTTTATCATCTTGACATCTGTGATGGCAACTGCCAAGTTTGAAGTATGCCAATATGATGGGAGGGGGGATTTTAATATGTGGAGTCAAAAGATGAGAGCCATCTTGATGCAAATGAAACGTGTTAGAGCCCTGGTAGGTTCTTGGCCCGATGATATGATTGTCTCTAAAAAAAACTGATTTGAAAGAAGTAGCACGGAGTACTATTTTTGTTAAAAGTTAATAAAATATGTGGCTGAAAAGTCGTGAGTTTCATAAAATATGTGATTAAAATTAATTGTTGATCTTCAAATATTTGACCTTTTTAAACTTTGTTTGTAACTAACTAGAGGCCTGAGAAAAAAGAAGATGTGTACAAACGAGATATCCAGTTTTGACTAAAAATAAAAAATCAAATTTTAATTTATACCAAACAAGACGTCATTTACTACTTCTTTGATTTTAGATTGAGGAAAAGTGTTTCTAATAATTAATTAAGGGTTTGATTTGCTCTGAATTGTAAGGTCCATTCTTTTAAATAAATGGATTCTTCATTCTTGGATATAGTGGTAAAAAAAGGCATGACCGATGATGTTGTGGAATATCATAATTACTTTTGAATATCACATTTTTAAGTAGAGTAACGCTATCTATTATTAGCCGAGATCGATGTCAATTTAGGCAGTAGTGAGTCCATTCATTGTCCAATGCATCACAATTCCATGGAACAATAAATTCAAGATCATGTTACCTCCTAAATTGGTTAGGATCTCTATTAATGATGAATAACATTACTCTTGGAAATATAAACATAAGATAAACATAGAAAGAAAAAAAAAATAACTAATGCATTGTATCAAAATAAAAGGTGAATAGAGTATGTGTATGATTGGTAGTTAACCTTTCGTGAATGAGTCATTTAAGTCAACGAGAGCCATACCCTTCCTCATTTCACATGCTAGGCAGGCTTCTAAATCTTTTACTCATTACTAGTGAATGCACGTGTGTTGCACGTGTTGTGGGTGATGTAGTGTAAGTGACAATATTGGATTTTGGTTTTGTGGGATTTTATCTTCAAACATCTTCTCTAACCAAACATGCGGTGGAGCACGTCTATAATGTGTCTATAATGTGGGCCTCTTCATAGACAAAACGAATTCTTTGAACTCTAAAGACAGCATGGAAAGAGTAGAAATATATTTCCAATAATAATAAAAAAAAATAAACCAACAATTCTCTCTGTGCACCTGGACATTGATTTGATCTCAAAGTGTTCATGTTACCTATTATTCACGATGGAAATGTTCGATATTATGCCTCCAATTTCGGATTCCTTTTCTTGCCATTTTTATATTAAGTCTACTGGTTTTGATATTGTTTTCTTATATGATAAATGAATTACCTCATGTTGATAGATTTAGATGGAAGACATACTACAGTTAGTCATTTGTGTAAATTTCAGAGGACCGTTCATCTCTCTCGAAAATCTATGCTGAGCAAGATAAATAAACAGCTTGCATATTTCAAAGGACCCATCATATCTCTCCCCATATGCACCCACGCGGCCACGTGTATGTGTGAGAACTAATTAATTCTTTCCCGTACCATTTTTTTTGCCAGTGCTCTTTAGTATTTTATTATGTGTGGCAGGTGACTACTCCGTTGCTTTTCAAGTTAATTCTTGCAGTTGTGCACCTTGGTGTTCTATTACGGTGGTTCCCACCAGATAGTTTGAATATGGTTCAGTTTTCCATTGGGTTGGAATCAGATCATTTCCAATTTCCTTTGCTAATTTTTTGAACTGCTTATTGAACAATGTTTTGATTGTTTTAACTTTGGCTGGAATTTAAAAGAGACAATCTCCGGTCAGACAGTACTAAGCAGAGGATTGCTTTGATAGCCAAGGATCTTGATTTGTCCAAACATACTTATACTTATTTTACCCCTTGTATTTTTAATTAAGCTAAAAGGAAGGATAAATGCTCAATTGATAATAAATTTCTATCAAATACTTTAGAGCATGTTAATAGAATATTCGGACGAAACTATCTTTAGTGACAAAATGTTCTAACTAATGGAGGTTTAAAAGTAAGAATACAATGAGAAAAGCATTATATACACTAATATGACTCTTAATAAAACTACAATTAAAATGTGATGAATTTATAAATAAATGTGGTGTCAATATAACCACTGATAATTTTATCTGGTGACCGATTGCACAAAATATTGGATAAGAATAAATTATTCATATTCGGTCTGATGAGATGTATCCAATGTATCCTTAAAAAGAAACAATCTCAAAATTGATGAGTTTATTACTTTAATTATTATTTTGATATTTTGTAGAGTGGATCTTAGTATTATGCTCATTCGAGTAAAAATTCATATTTTTCAGTCTTATATGATATATATTGAAATTGGCTAGACATAATTTTTGTACATTATTGATCAACACATATGATAAATGTGCCCTACAAATTTATATGCCAATGTTTTGTAGTGAAAATTAAGAGAGGAGTTGCTATTTTTGTCTAGGTGTGGAAGCTACAACTTTCTCCAGTAAAAAATGTGCCTTTACAAATTCATCTGATCGTGCTTGTTTGTATGTATATTGACGTTTGAAATATAATCAAATTATCACGGTGGAGCAAAAAAAGATCGCCATACCCTTCCTCATTTCACATGCTAGGCAGGCTTCTAAATCTTTTACTCATTACTATTGAATGCACGTGTTGTGGGCGATGTAGTGTAAGTGATAATATTGGATTTTGGTTTTGTGGGATTTTATCTTCAAACATCTTCTCTAACCAAACATGCGGTGGAGCACGTCTATAATGTGTCTATAATGTGGCCTCTTCATAGACAAAACGAATTCTTTGAACTCTAAAGACAGCATGGAAAGAGTAGAAATATATTTCCAATAATAATAAAAAAAAATAAACCAACAATTCTCTCTGTGCACCTGGACATTGATTTTGATCTCAAAGTGTTTATGTTAACCATTATTCACGATGGAAATGTTCGATATTATGCCTCCAATTTCTGATTCCTTTTCTTGCCATTTTTTATATTTAAGTCTACTGGTTTTGATAATGTTTTCTTATATGATGAATGAATTACCTCATGTTGATAGATTTGGACGGAAGACATACTACAGTTAGTCATTTGTGTAAATTTCAGAGGACCGTTCATCTCTCTCGAAAATCTATGCTGAGCAAGATAAATAAACAGCTTGCATATTTCAAAGGACCCATCATATCTCTCCCCATATGCACCCACGCGGCCACGTGTATGTGTGAGAACTAATTAATTCTTTCCCGTACCATTTTTTTTGCCAGTGCTCTTTAGTATTTTATTATGTGTGGCAGGTGACTACTCCGTTGCTTTTCAAGTTAATTCCTGCAGTTGTGCACCTTGGTGTTCTATTACGGTGGTTCCCACCAGATAGTTTGAATATGGTTCAGTTTTCCATTGGGTTGGAATCAGATCATTTCCAATTTCCTTTGCTAATTTTTTGAACTGCTTATTGAACAATGTTTTGATTGTTTTAACTTTGGCTGGAATTTAAAAGAGACAA